CGCCCCCGGCCTCCCCGCGCAGCCCCGGGCCCGCCATGGCCCAGCAGAGAGCCCTGCCCCAGAGCAAGGAGACGCTGCTGCAGTCCTACAACAAGCGGCTCAAGGATGACATCAAGTCCATCATGGACAACTTCACCGAGATCATCAAGACCGCCAAGGTGGGTGGGCCCCAAAGACCGCCGCGAGGGGCGGGTGCGGACGCCCACCCCTCTGGTAGCGGCGGTGGGCCTCGTCCCGGTTGGAGACGCTTGGCAGAGAGGGTGGCAGAGTGTCAACAGGAACAGACAGGTCAGCAGATCAAGATCTGAGCCCAAAATGACAAACTCTTGAGACTCGGGCCCGATTGCCACAGCTTCAAGTTCAGCACTTACTATTGGCCCGGGGTTGTGGAGACTTCGCGCCTCAGTGTCTCAGTTTCTCTGTGTCATAAGCCCTTGTGATTACGTGAGTTTGCCCATATATAGCAGGTATCCTAGGGCCTGGCACAGAGGAAGTGGCCCATTCCTTGTAGATATTCCAAGTGTGAACGGGAGAGAAACAAGGGAGAAATGGGCTAAGGAGGAGGTTGGGGAGAGCCCTGTAGGCAGGCAGTGGTCAAGACTTAGTCGCATTTGGGCAAGCCCTCTCTCTGACAGCTGCAGCCCAAACAGGAGCCTCCTTCAGCTTGACCACCTCAGACTTGTCAAGCCTGGCTGGCCAGTAATAATAATGATAAGAGCTAGCCTAAATCTAGCATTTGCTGCCAGTCAGACTACATTGTAAGAGCTGTTTGTGCTGTTTAATCTTCCCAAGAACCTTGTACCATCGCCACATTCAGAGGAAACTTGCCCACAGTCACTCTGCTAATAACTGGCAGAGTCAAGACTTAAATCCAGGAAGTCTGCCTATTACCCACTGAAGGAGCCTAAGACATCTCCAGTCCTCTGAGGTCCATCCCACCCTTTAGTGGCCCATCTGTAATTTAGGGGCAGCAATCCAGACTTCTCTGAGAAGAATCCCATCTTTTTTGTTGTTTGTTTGTTTTTGTTATGGGGCTTGAATTCTGGGCCTGGGCGCTGTCCCTCAGTTCTTCAGTTCAAGGTTAGCGCTCCACCACTTGAGCTATTGTGCCAATTCTGGTTTTCTAGATGGTTTATTGGAGATAAGAGTCTCACGGACTTCCCTGCTCTGCCCAGGCTGGCTTTGCACCCTGATCCTCAGATCTCAGCCTCCTGAGTAGCTAGGATTACAGGCTTGAGCGCGATCCCATCATTCTTGAGAGGATGATGACTAGCCAATAGTGAGTGCCCAATCCCGGGAGGGATTGGGAAAGGATTGTTCAAAGACTTCATACGTGATCTTATTGCCTGGTGCTGGTTGCTCACACTTGTAATCCCAGTTATTCAGGAGGCTAGATCTGAGGATTGCAGTTCAAAGCCAGCTTAGGCAGGAGAGTCCATAAGACTCTTATCTCCAATTAGCCACTAAAAAGCTGGAAGTGGAGCTGTGGCTCCAGTGATAGAGTACCCTAATTGAGTGAAAAAGCTAAGAGACAGCTCCCAGGCTCTGAATTCAAGCCCTAGCAACTGAACACACACACACACACACACACACACACACACACACACACACACACACGAATGAACGAACGATATCATAGGATCAGGGGGTGGCGGAAAGGTCTCACACCTGTAGGTACTCAGACCAAGAATGGGAGGATTGTGTTTCTAGGCCAGCCAAGGCAAAAAGTTCATGAGACCTCATGTCATCCAATTAAAAATAAAACAACACTGGGTGCATTGGCATATATATACCTGTTGTCCCAGCTATTCAGGAGGTACAGGTAGGAGAATCTTGATCGGGACTAGCCTTGGTAAGAAGTAAGACCCTGGGTTGGGAAGGTGGCTCAGTAGTAGAGTACTTGCCTTGCATGCATGAGGCCCTGGGTTCGATTCCTCAACACCACATAAGCAGAAAAAGCCAGAAGTGGCACTGTGGCTTAAGTGGTAGAGCACTAGCCTTAAGCGGAAGAGCTGACGGACAGCGCCCAGGCCCAGAGTTCAGGCCCCACCACCACCAAAAACAACAACAAAATAATAATAAGTGAGATCCCATTAAAAAGTAACAAAAGCAAACAAGAGCTGGGGGAGTAGTTCACATGGAAGAACACTTGCCTAGCAAGTATAAGCCCTGAGTTCAAATTCCAGAACCTCCAAAAAAAAACACATTATCTTGTTCATTCAGCTAAACTTAGTGTCTTAGTCCCTGCCAGATGGCGCCACATTCTAAAAGTTGGCCAAGCCGGGTGCTGGTGGCTCACGCCTGTTAATCCTAGCTACTCAAGAGGCTGAGATCTGAGGATCTCAGTTCAAAGCCAGCCCGGGCAGGAAAGTCCGTGAAACTCTTATCTCCAAGACAAACCACTAGAAAACTGGAAGTGGTGCCGTAGGTCAAGCAGTAGAGTGCTCGCCTTGAGCTGAAGAGCACAGGGACAGTGCCCAAGCCCAGAGTTCAAGCCCCACGACCAACCAAAAAAAGAAAAAAAGTTGGCCAAGCTGAGGCCCTGTCCCTCCACCTAGCACAATAAGACAGCAGTCAGCAGGGCAGCTTCTCCTTCGTCCTGGAGAAGGAGCCCCTTGAACAGAGCAAGAGAGAGTGGGACTGAACCTTGAAGTTGGGTGTGCAGGCACTGGGTCCACAGAAGGCAAGATTGGTTGTGGAGATACAAGTGTGCTGGGCAGCTGGTTGTTCCTGTGAGCCAGGCCGGAGCAGGGGTGGGAACTCTTGACTGGGAGGGGTGGGGCGCTGGGCTGACTGTAGGCTTCTTGTTTGCTCCCAGATTGAGGATGAGACACAGGTGTCAAGGGCCACTCAGGGTGAACAGGATAATTACGAGATGCATGTGCGAGCAGCCAACATCGTAAGTTACTGGGGTCGGGGGGAGGAGGAGGCTCCCCACTGGGGTTTTGTGGTTGGCACACAGGTCCTCTGCCTGCCTCACCCTCCTGTGAGCAGTAAAGGAAGAGAGGTGAGGGGAGACCACTTCTCAGGATAACATCCCCAAGGCGGCCAGGCCGAGAGCTGGCCCAGGACAGCCTGAAGCTGTGCAGTGGTCAGAAGAAGGCAGCCTACCTGCTGATTCCCAGGTCCCTTAAGAGTCATGCATGAAAAGGGGAATTGCTGAATGAACTGTATGTGTGGTGTGAACCCTGCTACTGTCACAAGAGAACCCCAGGCAGCCAGATGTGTGCTCACAGATGTAAGGGAAAAGGCCCCAAGCCACAGCCGTGGAGACGAGTGAGCACCGTATTTTCTATGGAGGCTGTGCTGAATGTACAGATGTGTGCCCACTGACCCGTGTGACTGGTGCTCCAGGCCCGCCAGTGTGAAAACCAGAGGCTGGAGAGCTCTGGAGCAAGCTTATTAATAAACAAGTTTAGGGACTGGGAATGTGGCTCAGTGGTAGAGTGCTTGCCTAGTATGCATGAAGCCCTGGGTTCAATTCCTCAGTACCATTTAAACAGAAAAGGCCGGAAGTGATGCTGTGGCTCAAGTGATAGAATACTAGCCTTAAGCAAAAAAAGAAGCTCAGGGACAGAGCCCAGGCCCTGGGTTCAAGCCCCAGTACTGGCAAAAAAAAAAAGTTCCACCTGCATGGTGAGGCAGGGCGGGATCTGCACCTGCATGGTGGGGAAGGGCGGGAGCTGCACCTGCATGGTGAGGCAGGGCGGGAGCTGCACCTGCATGGTGAGGCAGGGCGGGAGCTGCCTTCTCAGCCTCTGGTTAGTGCCCTCCCCTCATCCTTCCAAATGGCCCCATGCAGGTTTGTGCTCCCATTTTGTAGACCAGGAAGCTGAGGTTCCCAGAGAGTTGCTGCCAGCCTATCTCCAGCAGCGTGGAGAAGGCCACTGTCTCCTCCCTCCCCACTCACCCTCGGCCCGCCCTGGCTTTGATGGCTGCAGGTCCGAGCTGGCGAGTCCCTGATGAAGCTGGTGTCTGATCTCAAGCAGTTCCTGATCCTCAATGACTTCCCATCAGTGAACGAGGCCATCGACCAGCGCAGCCAGCAGCTGCGTGCCCTGCAGGAGGAGTGCGACCGCAAGCTTGTCGCCCTGCGTGATGAGGTCTCCATCGACCTGTATGAGCTAGAGGAGGAGTACTACTCGTCCAGGTACAAATAGGGCTGGACCCCCTGCCTGCCTCTGCCTGGCCAGCAGGTTGGGCTGTCCAGGCCTGGAAGGGGCTTCCGTTCCTCACACCCTTCCTGGTCTTGGCAGCAAAGCTGATGCCGATTCCTGGGCTCCAGAGCAGAGCCCCTGGCCAGAGCATTTGATGGACAGACAGTTCACAGCCACCATCAGGCCTGAGCCTTTCCCTCCATGCAGAGGGATGGAAATCATAGGACGTCTGGTATGGAGGAGGCTGAGTCTGGAGAATGGTGTCCCCCAGGACAGGGGAGCCCTCCTCTGGGCAGAACTTTCTGGGCCTTGATTCTGGATCTTGAATCCATACCCAGGCGGTCCAGTCCAAGCCATGCCCCTTTCTAGGATACCACTGCTTGCCCAGGGAGGCAATGCCGTGTACATGTGGCTGAACCCTACGCTGTGGATGAGGGGCGGCCCTGGAGGGAGGACATGGGGTGTCTGGATGTTGCTGTCAGGTCAGCTCTGTGCTGGCACTGGGTGCCACAGAGCAGGACCTGTCATTGCAGCTCTCACAGGGCCACTTAGAATCCTGAGACTGAGCCAGAGGGACCGGGAAATCCCTCCCACGTAACTTACCTGGGAAACAGAGGCTGGAGACCTGAGGCCTTCCACCCTTCCCCACTAGCTTCTAACATACACATTCAGTGTGTCAGTTGTGGACAGACCCTTCCCTTCTCATGGTAGATGGAAAGTTTTCCTTTCTGTTAGACCTAGGCCACACCAGGAGGCCGCAGACATTCAGCATGGTCTGTGGTCTGGGGCTTTGCTTTCTTGCCCTGGATTTAGAATCATTGCCCAGCTAGAGAGAGCAGTTCTAGATGTTTCTCGGGATTCTGGGGCTGTCATTGGTACCTGGAAATGCATCAGTTGAGTGCAGCATCTCCTGTACGCCAGGGGACCACCCTTGCCTTATGGGGCTGAAGGCCACAGGGAGTTGAGGACAGTCCTAAGGTCAGACAGCAGAGCTGGGATGGGAACCACAGGCCCCAGCAGCAGTCTCCCCCCGCCCCCCATCCCGTCTCTCTCTTCCTCTAGAGGGGGACCAGTCTGTGTCCCATCTACCCCGGCCTCCTCCCCCACAGCCCCTGTGGGGAAGCAGCTGCCCCTTTTGCCTGTGGACGCCCTTAAGCCTTCAGGGCTCTTCCCACCAGAGCTGGCTGGTTTGGTCCATGCCTCCCTGCCTGCACTGTCCACTCACTGCTTCTCTTTCTGCCTCTGCCTCTTCTTTCCATTCTCCTGTGTTCGGGTGATGCTGAGAATGAACACACGGAGCAGGCGAGGGGGAGGTGATTAGACCCGGGGAACGACCCGGCTCTGCCTGCCAGGATGATCTGCACTCCTGCATCCTGCCTCTCAGGCCCTCCATAGAAAGGAGAAATGGAATACAGAGTCCCAGGGGAGTGTGGGGATGTCACAGAACCCGAGCAGCGGTGCTGGGAGGTGACAGGGCCTGGGTTTCTATCAGCCCACACAGGGATGGACCCAGCAGTAGGGCAGGGTTTCTGCCATGGGTGGGTGTGGGGGTGAGCTTTGCAAAGGTTCATGGGCACCTCAGCTGGTGAGGGGAGAGTCCCTGGGCTGGGGCAGGGCAAGCAGGGCCCTCAGGGACTTGGAGGGGCCCGAGTGGCAATCCAGCAAGAACACCAGTTTGGTCCCTGGGGAGGACTTGCCAGGGTCACCCAGCCTGTTTCAGGGCGGCCCCTATGGCCCCTCCCATAGCCAGGAGTGCCTGAGAGGCCTGGCGCGGAGGAGAGGAAGGGGCGGCAGGCCAGGGTGGTGGTTGTAGTTTCTTAACTCTGCTTCCGTCTTGCTTTCCCCTCCCTGCTTCCCTCTGTCTGCTCCTGTCCCTCCCGGGGTTTCTGGTGGTGGAAAAGCTCCAGTCTTTGCGAAGCTAATGACCTGCCTCTATGTGAAGCTTACTGGAGGCTGGACCTCGACACCGACTCTGCTGATGGCCTCCCAGCCCCTCTTCTGGCGTCCCCGGAGCCCGGCCCTGGCTCGCTGCCGGCTGCAGCCCCTTCCCACTCCCATGCCGGTGGCCCTGGCCCCACAGAGCACACCTGAGCCTCCAAGGCTGCCCTCCCCCAGGAGCAGGAGCGAAATCCTGGGCTCCTTCTTGAGCCTGCCCACCACAACCTAGCTTGTGCCAGCCTTGGACCCGCTGGACACCCCAGAGTCCAGGAGCTGCTGTGGCCTTAGGAAGTTGACCAGGCTCAGACCCATTTCAAGATGGCCCGTTATCTCTAGCCTCTATCTCTCAGGTTACTGGGTGGAAGGAAGTATGTCCTGTTGAGCTTCATGCTATTTGAAGACTGTTTACAGTGGGCACAGTCAACAGTTGGCTAAGTCCATTCTCATGATGGCCAGGGCTACTGCCTCTTGCTGAAGGCACAAATGACCACCCTGGCAGGCATGTGGAAGATGGGTGGCTCACTCCCATGGCTGTGGGACCTCCTGCTGGGGCCTCCTGACCAATGCCACCATGCCTGTTCTACTTTTGTGATGTGGCTCAGACCTGTCATCCTAGCTACTCAGGAGGCTGAGAGCTGAGGATCAGGTTCAAAGCTGGCCTGGGCAGGAAAGCCTGTGAGACTCTTATCTCCAGTGATCCACTAGAAAACTGGAAGTGGCGCTGTGGCTTAAAGTAGTAGAATGTTAGCCTTGAGCAAAAAAAGCTCAGACAGGCCCAGGCCCTGAGTTCAAGACCTGTAACTGACAAAAAACAAACAAACAAAAAAACAACTACCCTTTCCCATCTCTTCTCTTTCTTCTTCATTCCTAGTCTAGAAACACCCTCAGTGCCAGTGGCTCTGCTGGCACAACCTGGGGTCAGGCCAATGCCTAATAAGTCCTTAGCATCTGGTGAGTGAGTGAACTACCTGCTACGATTGAACACCCCATGCCGGGCACCTGTGTGTCTGGTGCCCTCTAGTTCTCACTGCACCCTGAGTCAGGGTTAGGTGTGCACTTGGGGAGGAGTCATGCTCAGGCCCAAAGCTGGGCCCGAAGGGGCAGAACCAGGGTTCAAACCTCAGGAAGTCAGAACTACTGCTTCTTGGGGGTAGGCTCAGACTCACCGAATCCACAGTGCTCTGGGGATAGAGTGAGGTTCTCCAGAACTGCTGCCACTAGAGTCTGTACCCCCCCATCCCCACCCCGGTGCCATCCCTCCACAGGCTCTATCCTCATTCCTCTGAGGAGATCCACACCCACCACTAAGGGGCTCTAGAGCTTCAGAGCCAAGCAGAAGGGAAGGGACATCCGGGGGCCAGGGGCATGGCTCTGACCCTGGTTTCTTGGGGGCCAAAGGACGGCCACTTTTCACGAGTTCCCACTGATGAGATGCCGACAGTACAAGACCAGAAGGAATGTGCCATGAGGCTTTAAAAAGCATCTGAACAATTAAAGCGTGGATTTATTATCTGCTTGGCCAGTGCCATCCTTCCCACTCAAAGTGAGCTGTTTCTCCCTCAGCCCAGCGCGGCCCTCCTTCCTCCTCGGGGAGAGCGGGTCTCCACGGTACCACCGGCCCGGACGCGCCCTCCCTCAGACGAGGGCCGCCCCGTCTGTCAGCCTCGTGGCTTCCCTAGCCCGGCTCGGGGCCGCGCGAGCCGCCGCAGCACGGGAAGCTCACGGTCCGGAGGGGCAGGCGCTCGAGGCCTGCGGGCCG